CCGGGTGTGTCTCAAACATGGCTCACGCCTATAACATTTTTATTTTCTCGGTCACTTCCTGTTTCATCGGAAATGACTACAACTTTTGATTTTTATCTTATTCGATAGAAAATGCGGTATTGCATTGCATGTATTGCATGTATCAACCCAACTTTTATCTCTTTTTAATACATTTGATTTTCCACTAAGCTGTCGAATTCACTGTCTTAGAAGTTAAAATCCAGATCAAGCAGTTTTGATGATCAGATGGGTATATTTAGGATAACTAATACACCAGCTCGGGATCTCTACTACCAAAAATCAACAGAAGAATTTGTGTGAGCACTATGTGCGCATATTTCAAGTAAAAATTCTTACTAACAGCTATTAATTAAATATTAAAAATAAATTTATAAATGCATTCATTTTCAAAAAATTTCTATTAAAATGACCGTCTGTCCGTCTGAGGACTCCAATCGGGTACCTCTATCCACGTGCCGAGTTTGGTTCCAATTGACTCATAATAGAGAAAAATCCTGATGATTTCGTCCATTTAGAGTCCAATACACAGCTCGGGATCTCTACTACCAGAAATCAACAGAAGAATTAAGTTAGTATGGAGTATGGAGTACTTATGGAACAAACTCAGTCACATTCAAATCTAGAATGCCACTTTATCTAAAGAAGAAAACATTCGACCAATGTGTACTACTAGTCATGACCTGTGTATGCGAAACCTGGAGAGTTAAAACGAACATTATAAGGAAACTGCAGGTTGCACAAAACTCAATGGAACGAAATATGCTGGGAATAACCAAAAAATACTATAAAAGAGTAGAGTTGATGCGACAAAAAACCCAGGTAATTATAATAGATGTCATCCACAGAAACAAATCCCCCAAATGGCAATGGGCAGGGCACTTGGCAAGAAGGACGCAGATCAGGTGGACCACAAAAATTACAGCATGGTATCCACGAGGAATTAAGAGACCTGGAAGAAGACCAAACTTGAGATGGGACCATGATATTAGAAAATTAACAGGGATACCTTGGGCCCGCATTACCAACAATAGAAGACAATGGGCCCAACTACAAAGAGAGTATCTAAATATGTGAGAGACGCTACACCATAATTGGAAATGGTTGAATAAGCTGAAAATGATGATGATTATTTAATTTTACCAATAAAATTAAGCATTTATAATGACAAAAAAAGTGTAGTACCGAATTAATGAAATGCTTAAAGTTCTAATGTAATTTGTAATGTATGCAGTACAAATCTTATTATGGTGCACATAGGCAAAAGAGTATACTTAACACTTTTTCAACTGTCTTTAATTTCCCCTTTAAAGTAAAGACTGTCCAACAAGACGAGAAAGAATGTCCTCAAACGACATTCAAGCAATGATTCAAAATACAATATGAACAAAAAAAAAACGGCGTCAGCGAAGGCTATGAAATGAAGATCGCCGTCTGATGTTTTATATGTAAAATCATATGAGGAATGTCATCCTTCATCATTTCCAGCCCAACTGAACAAGGGTACAATTTAACTGTGAATTATAATGACAGATAACTCTCACTATCAGGTATTCTCACCTTACCTAAATAAACTTATAATCTATTTTTTCTCCGACGAAGTTTAGATTTTGTCCGGATTTCAGAGCTCACTTGTATGGAAACCCTATTGATACAGGGACAAAGAAAGCTTTATATACAAATGACGTGAAATACACTTCAAATTTTAGCATTTTGGCTCGACAAACAAGATAGGTCCTATATTATATAGTAAGCTAAGTATTGAATATAATTTGAACTACATAGTAGGAAGATTAGCAAATATAGCAAATCTTGTTTATTTTTCCTGCCCTGTAGGTATAGTTTAAAAACTCCAAATCGTAAAACTAGCTGATTTATAGCTACTTATTTATTGTATCGTCGTCTACCGTTGAATGACATTTCGATTTGATCGAATACCTAAATAATGAAATAACAACTATTTAGAATAAATGAGGAAGAATAAATAAATATAAATAAGCTGCTTAAAAATCAATAGATATAGTGGAAAAAATATCGTACGGCCAGTTATGTCACTTGGTGCATCCTTGACTTTTTCCTTGTTTCGCGAATTCCACGTCAAACCGAGAGTTCTTACTGTTATACGTACTATATTATATCTCTTTGTTGTAATTTGTTGTTATAACATTTCAGAGTGCTGATTGTAAATAGTGATGAGCAAATGCAAGACCAAGACCAAGGTAGGCTTGGTCTTGGCAATGCAAAGTCCAGTCTTGATCTTGATTTTAGTTTTGCTGCACGACTCTTCCAAGTCTTGCATTTTTGAATAGATTTGAAGTAGAAGTACTTTCTACATAGAAAATCGTTAAATAAATATTTTTTTTTTATTTAATGCAAATAAAACTGAACAAATAAGTAATTTCTTATATCACATATATAATTACTTTTACTTATATCTATTACTTAAAAATAAATCTTATATCACAAAAAAGAATGCAAGACCGCAAGAGTTCTGCTGGCTTGGAAGATAGAGGTCTTGGTCTTGCGGAAAAGTCCTTTTTATATCATACAAGAATAACATCTCTAGCAATACAAGTATAGATATTTTTACAATACTATACTACAACACCGTATATCAGACCGTATATCAAACGTACCATTGCTTGTCAAATATTTATTATTCAATGTTATCTAATCTGTGCTTATACTTTTTATTATTTTAAATAGAATTCAAAAAGTTTAAGGTAAAGGTAATTTCTGAAATATAGCAAAGAAATTAAGAGACTATACTTTTGTTTATTTTAGTTTTTAAACTTTAAACCTAAAGCCACGTATGAACTTGAACTTAAAATAGCAAAATTACGTTCAATGTAAAAAAGTACCATATGACCAGATAAAACCGCGTCTAGTTGGCTTGGAAATGAACATCGATAATATTCCCTATATAATTTTACATATAAAATGACAGCGATTTTTATTTCATAGCCATCTCTGATGCCATTTTTTATATTACTTCTACTGAGCCTTCTCATCTAGTCTTTGCAAATAAAATAGTTGTGTAGATTATAAGTATACGATCTCGTCTGCATTTTTAGTTAAATACATTTAGAATTATTAAGAACCTTAGGTAGGTATGTGTCTAGAATATTAATTACTAAAAAATAGTTGTTCATCTGTGGTTAAAATACACTGGAAAAACGGTAGGGCACATTGTATACATTGTACAGGGTGTCCCATTTTAGTTGAAATCATACGGTATCTCCGTTATTCGTGAAGATAGAAGAGTGCGGTTTTTACAAACCTGTGCCACTTTTTTGTCAAATGGAAGATGCTGTCAACAAAATTTTTATAACCCTTTTCGTTTCTGAGCTACAGGGTCTTTTCGAAAATTTTGCAATTTGGGACCGCCCCCGTATCTCCGTTATTATGGATGATATCGAAAAGGTGAAAACTGATTCTTATAGAACTTTTTACGTAGAATACAGTGGAGTAGTCTGTTTTTCTACGAAAAAAATATTTTTGAAAATATGAACTAAAGTTATGTTTTTTCAAATGGAACACCCTGTATATTTATAAATCATATGATCCGCTTTGATATGAGCTTCTCAAATATATATATATATCACTCTATATTTATTTTCACTATTTCCTACACACTATCACTTTCTTATTAGTAGGCCGTGATAAATAACAAAATCAAAATGGTATTTACTAAAATAGACATGCACATATTAAAATTTTATTTGGAATTGATATATTTTACTTTTGAACTGTTACCACTGAACCTCTAAATATATTTTTCTCTTTTTTATAACGGAATTTATTATAGTAATGGGATGGGTTTGCAAATATTTAAAAGCTTGCATTATTGAAGCATTTTTCAGGTGTTCAACATCGTATTAGTTGCCACGATATATTTCATATTTCAAAAATCCCCAAAATCAGAGATCGAGAACAGACAAATCCGGGAATCAGGGAGGCCATCATATGGGTACATTGGTTCAATTCATTCATTTGAGAAATAATAATTTCACAAAATTCTAATATTTTCGTTGTAAGTTAAGTTGTGAGGGGGAGCCCCATCTTGGCTGAAAGTATATATCACGTAAATTAGCTAAAGGAATATTTAAAAGTTCCGATACGATAGCTTCCAATATTTACAAATATCGGTAGAAATTTAAGTTTCCCTAATATACAAAGAATTAATTAGTGGCTCTCAAAATAAAACAAGAGACAGATAGCAGTATTACTCTTAATAATTCTTTAGTTTCTTTTATTATCAATCATGGCCTACTAAAAAAATGATCTTTTAATATGTTTTTTTTTAAATATTGCCTTAAATAATGATAACAACTATAGAGTGTTATATATTTTTGAGAAGCTTATAACAAGCCAGATTATATAATTCATAAATATACAGGGTGTTCCATTTAATAAAACATAACTTATATAATAGTTCGTATTTTTAAAAATATTATTTTCGTAGAATAACAGACTGGAAACCTGGTTATTTTCCAGTTTTTTTTTTGATACTAATAAAATTAATTATAGGATTAATAAAATTGATATGATTACATTACAACTTACTAAATTTAAAAAAGTTAAATAAATTAGACTTTTTATCCACACGAAACCGACGAAAAACGTAACAATACTAAAAATGACAGCATGCCATTTTTTTAGAAAATCAGTGTTAGTTTGTGAATTTCAAAATAGCACTTAAAAATTAATTGGCATCAAATTATTTCATCCTTTATCTTCAGTGGACACTTTGAATAAAACAAACATTAGAGGCATTCTATACTAATAATTATTTTGGATAATTCTTCCAAGATGATCACTAAAAGTGATAAATGTAAAGGAACCTTTAGAGCAGTCGTCCTTTATTATTGGACCCACCCTGTAATTGTAGTAAAACTAAAATTTTGATTGGGTGGTACCAAAGTTTACCAAATTTCTAAATAAAAATAATCTCATAACAAACATATCTTTTTTAGCTTGCAGACTGTAAATGAGTATATATTTATTAAACATATTAATTATTAATAACAACAGGGGCTAAAAATGATTCATAGTAAATCATTAATAAAAATACATAGAAATAAAGATAATGAACACATTATTTAAAACGGCAGTATTTAATATTGTATTTTTGGCAAGTTGTTGTATTTATTTGTTATTATCTTCTGCGTCTTCTTGATTTTTCGGTCGTAGAAGGCTGAGATGCTATCCAGTCAAGAGCTCGCTGGATATTGGGCGGGATCGGTGGTGCAGTTGGTAAATGGTTTCCTTGAGGTTGAAAACCACCTGAAAATATGATACAATAAAACCAAAATATGATATGTGTAAAAAATAGGAATTTTTTTGGGTAGAATAATTTATATTAAGCGTTTAGCCTTTTAGCTTCATTCATTTGTATTAGATATAGACATTAAAAATAGAATATATTTCTTGCAGTTTTATTTACTAAATTGAATTACACTAGAACTATAGTGTATAATTTAACTGAAATAACTGAAAGATCCTTTAATTAGGTTTTTCTTTAAATAAGAAAGTCAGCTACAATATAGCAAAACATTTTCTTAATATTCGAAACACACAACTCAGTTTTATGATTATAATTGTTTTTAACGCAGTTTTGGGAATTAAAAACGTGCGTCCCTACTGTTAAAGGTTTTCTTGTTTAATGTGGTTACAATTACCTGAAATATTTCCATCGTGATACCAATAGTTCAACGCAATTATATTTCAGAGTTTGAAAAAAATGTTTGTTGATATTTGCCAATCAACAAACATGTTACTAAAAATAGAGAGGATGCGAATTGCTGGCCTGTTTCCTTGCATACATACCTTCATCATCTGCAGTATACGTTAGTGAGATCTGGTTTCCTTCTGGATCTGTATATGAATAAGACCCTTGGGCAACCATAGCTTCCGGATTTTCTGCATCATTTGTTTTCTTCAAGTTGCCCTTTTCTTCGGCTTTAATTCCATTTTCTGCTTCAAAACTAAAAGAGACAAGAATTTGAGTTAAAAATGAAATAGAGTTAGTTAGTTAGAATATTTCGATATTTTTTCAGTGTAGAATATAGAGGGAGGGTGGTTAATCACCGCCACCTTAACGTTCTGTTGTATTCCCCTTTCTTGAGTTAAAGCTCATCATTACAGTTGGCGGTTGGAACCTTTGGTGAAGGGTGTTACACAGCAAAATAAAACACTAAATCACCACAATACACCAAAACACTTTTACTTTTACACCATGTTAGCATCATCAGCTGATGATTAAAATTAATTAGTGTTTTATTTTGCTATAACTCACCATACAGTCTAACCCAATCATACATGGGAATTTTTCTATTGTAGGAGGGACAGATCATGTTTGCACCTTAATATTTTCAAGTATTTTAATATTCAATATATTTTGTTTTAGTGAGTCGATTTTTATGATTTTTTAAGCAATTTATAGCAAGTTGTTTGACTTGTTAGCTTTCTGTTAAATCCAAAATTAAAGTCCTCTTCTGGCTATTATACGAGTTGATAGAAAATGTTGTTATTTAAGGGAAAGTTTGAAAAATCCTGTGGAGTTACTTAACAAAGTAAAGAGTTTAAAAACCACTTTATCACTTGCTTTATCATCAAGGTGTATCTTTTTTCGATAGTTTATTTTTTTGGTTTTTAATAGCTTTTTTTAGCTCTTTATTATTATAGGCTATTTTATTGGAGGTATTCGTTTTTGAAGAAGATATTAACGTTTACTGTTTTTCTAATGCCACTATCATGGAAAAGTGGTATTATTATTATAGTTTGTTGGCAGTTACTCTAGAATAGATGGTCCAGAGTCCAAAAGTTGATCATCTCGACCATGCCCCCCCAATTACAGCAATAGCCAATACAACTTGTGAACTTAAAATCATCTCTGCTAAAGTAACTGCCAACAAACAACAAACAGTAATAATATAACTTTTCAATGACACTGACATTACAAATAAAATAAACACTATTTTATAGGTGTGTTAATGAGGATCAAAATAAATGCATGCTTTTAATGTTAAAATTGTTATTAATAGACTTCTTTAAAAGCCCATCTCCAGAAATAAAAAGCTACTGAGATGAATATAAAAAACAAATTATCGAGAAATGATGCACCTTGATGACAATGGGTGTTTCTTATTTTGTTAAACCATTCCATAGGGTGTTTCAAACTTTCGCCATAGTAACTCTCAATATCACCCGGTTAAACTGGTTAGAAAATATATAAAACAAAACAACCAAAAACGAAACCCAAACGTTAACTTGTTAATGTCGACATTAACTGATAAAATATAATTTCTATGTGAATGACAGACACAACACACAACTGTCACTCTCAGGGATCCTCTTCTTGGACAGTTTCTTTTTTTGATAGAGGTTGGACAAATTTCTTATTTTGTTCTTATTTTTTTAGTTTTGGAACAAAATAAGAAATTTGATCAGTTGTATATTAAAAAACAAATCAAAGAACATTAAAATTCTGAATTGCAAAACTACACACCTTGTTAGGTGCATTACTTCAAGTGAAACGCTTTCTTTTTGTTTACCTATTTGTTAACACACTTGTTTAAGATGATGTCTTTATTTAAACTTTGTCACGATTGTTCAGCTACACGAGAATGTCACACGTTTTCACATTCGTGTTCGGCCTTAAACGATTATTATTAATGTTTCTTGTTAAGGTTACTGGGTATTTTGTATAAGGATAATCCGAATGATAATAAAGATGTCTTATGTATATTATTGATGTAGGCTAATTTATTAATAATAAATTATTTAAACAACATTGAAAGAGAAGATCATTTTGGAAGGCTATTGGTGATTATTTTGGTTTAACAAGAATAACCTTTCTTATTATGTATATATCTAAATAAAGAAGTGTGGAATGAAATTAACATATTAAATACTTCCAGATATTGTTTAGGTTCATTCAGTTTGTATTTTAGAAATAAATTTGAAAGAGATATGAGGAAAACGTAAAATAAGATTTATGATAGTAATTCTTTATAGTAAAATAGCTGACGCCCGTCTTCTCCTTTATCGCCGCAGACTAATGCCACAGCTAATGCTGAAAAATATAGGAGCAACTAACTTTAACTGCTTTTACCCGCTATTACCGGAATGAATTATTGTTTCTTTTTGTCCGCTTGTCCGCTTCACTCACTCAACAGGTTTATCATCGCTACCTCTTTGAAAACTAATTCAAATCCCTCGCTCCCCCAAACTTAATCCACCCTGCTGGGCTCATTTCTAAACTTCCTGTAAAGGTTATGCTTAACACAACTCTATTTACTTACAAAATTATTAAAAAATAATCGATTTTAATCATAACCATCTTGTGTACAGGGTGGGTCAAATTGGACGCTTTTAAAGGGAAACACTGTTTTCTATAGGAGATAGACGAAAATTAATATCGGTGTCTTGAGCTCAATCTTTATCATTAGCTGCAAAAATTTGTTGATAACTTCAGCGATCTGAGGCGGTGTCTTGTCTTGCTGGAAAAATATGTTTTCGAATTCTATTTTTTTTAGAGGCATTATCATCAATAAGGGCTCCAAAGCCTACTATTTAAAAGTGGTAAACTTTTAAAAATTCTGTATTTCGAAGGAGACTATAACAAAATATCAAGTGTCATATATTTTTGAAAAGGTAATTTTAAGGTCTTTTCATTTAATTAAAAATATGCAGGGTGTCCCAAATAAAAAATCAACTTTTTTGTTGATAACTCGTAAATTATTAATTTAAAAAAAATTATACTTAAATCATTAAATTCTACGCAAAAAGGTGCTTTGGAAATGTTTTCATAAAAATATAAAATTTTCGATGCCAAAAAAGTTACAGCAATTTGTTAAAAATGCACATTTTGGAAAAACACCCCGTAACTCATAAACGGTAACAGATATCGATCTGCCGTTTTCACCATCATGTTTTTGATAAAATTTGAGCTTCAGACACTGATATTAGTTTTCGTCTATCTCCTATAGAAAAGGGTGTTTCTCTTTAAAAGCGTCGAATTTGAGACACTTTGCACATCTACATATTTTCAAAATTGCAGCATTTTCTTTTAAACGGTTTTCAATTTTGTTGAAAATATACTTTAACGTTTCAATGCGGAAATATTCGTAAAATTTTTGAAGGTGAGTTGTGGATATAACGTATGATATTTACGAAATTTAAAATAAGACCGATTCACTTCATGAACGCATCACAAATTTAAGTCCATTTATGTTAGTAAAATAAAAATACAAATGTATTTTACCTCCATTCATAGTTGCCTTCTGGAAAAATTTCATTTGTTTGGCTAATAATTTTGATTTCTTCCGGTGCTCCTTGGGGTGCACACAAAATTGTACCAAATAAACTTGCAAATGTTACTACCTAAAAATAACATTGTAAAATATATTACATATACTAATGAAATCTTGAATTAAAATTAAATTTAATTTTGTTCATGAGCTACCACAAAATGAACATGCTCTATAAATCTTAAATTATATTAGACTTTAAAAAAATATATAAGTACTTTAATAAATTAGCACTTCTTATAATCTGATGTAATATTTTTTCGGATATCTTAGATATTGCACAGGATAATATGTAAATTATATTAAATGTGCTAAAATCGTATTAATTTGTACATGTCAAGGCTGATTTATTTATTATAATTATTATTAGTTTATTTGATTAATAAAGATAGACTTTCCTATAATGATTTAAGAAATAATATTATAGAAATAATATACTATATAACTGCCGAAAAGAAAATACTTAAAATTGTTATTTATTTTAAAGGTTTGCAGAATTATTCAGTGCTGTACCTATTGGAGATATTAAAAAACTTTAATTATAAGGACTTGTAAAATTTAACGACCAGAAAGTGAAATAAAAATAAAGAAAAGACGATCAGAAAGTTAAGAAAAATTTATAACAACTTTTTTAAAAGCGCCCTGTATATTATAAGTTTTAGTAAAAGATCTTTTTTCTCCCGGTTTTAAATGTCTATATTTGCCTGAACCGTTTTTGAAATATTTTGGTTTAATCAATGCAACCGCTATACCACAAACAACAAATAGAAAAGTGTATTATTTTTATTGCCTCCAAGGCACCACTAGGTATAAAAAAATAATTAAAAAACTGTTCAGGCAAATATAGATTAACTATACCTACTTAAGGGTCGGCATTTCTGGTCTTGGGTGCCGATTTTCGTGTGTACGAAGAGTACAGTCAACACGCTTAGTAAAATAAGATGTACTGAATAAAGATAGAAGGCAAGTATTTTTCCAAGCGCATGGGATCTAGCGTCAAATTAAGTGATTATGTAATAAATACTTCGTATTTTTGCTCTGGCTTACTAGATTGTCATAGCGATTCACTCCTATACATGTAAACGCCGATCCAAGGTTTCGCTTGCCAGCAGGGTATACCGCGCATCGTCAAGCCGAACATAGGAAATCTCATGTAAATTTTAAAAAGGATGAATAAGTTTTTTTCAGAAAATTTTATTTTACAGAAAAAATGTTTGAAACTTTTTAAAGAAAAATTTAATTAAAATGAAGCAAATTGTTTATTTTGGATAATTTATACGAATTCATTTTTGAGTTATGAGAGATACTACAGGTTGCGATGCATATTTGCAATCGAAACAAAAATATCTTAAAAAAAACGAAAATGAAATAAAAAAAGTATAAATTTTCCTTCACTTTCTGATCCTGTTTTGTTTATCTTTATTTTATTTTTTCGCGGTTGAGGTAAAACCAGAAACCCTACATTTAAAGGTTTTTTACTGCTTCCAATAGTCCAGTCTGTAGGCAGCGTTGACAACCGAAATATCCGAAAATAGAATTTTCCACGAAGACGGTCAAAATTTCCCGGTTTCTTCTAAAAATTCTGACGAATTATTCAAAATCAATTATATCGTTGAGGGACTATATTCAAGTGAATTGCCATGAATCGGGAAATTTCCCACGAGTTGGCGTCACTGTCTACAGATATGGCACTAAATGCCTCTCAAAACCCGGTACAATATTAACAATATAAAAATATATATGTGTGAATTTACCTTAAACCAATCCATTTTAAACCTAAACCACAAATTATCGTGGATAATTTGTGTTAACGCAGTGAAACAAAACAAAAATTTAACTGCACTACTTTCTATACTCTATGTATTTTATACGTCAATTTCTCTGCGGTTCTAAATAGTGCAACTCTCAGTTTTATAGATTTTATTGGTGCCCCCCATTTGAAGTCCCTGATAAAAGCGTTTCGACACAACAACGCTGTACTCAAATGGCATCTTCGGTGCAATCGCACGAATGCAACCAACCAACATATTTTATGCACTTTTCTCGGTATTCGTACAATTTCACCGTCTTGTTGAATTTTAGATGCGTTTTTTACTGTTCTTAATGTCTTATTGTTCGAAAAGATTTTCCGTTTTTTTTTTCATCAGGCTTGATTACAGGGTCGTGCAACAGTAGAGTGATTTCGGGTAATATGGAATAGCATTTTTTTCTCATAACATAAATATATAATATATATAATTTCTAAGTTTTTAGTTTATTTTATTATTCAAAGAAATAAGTTGGTACAATTGAAACGCATAGCAGGAAATTTAAAAATTATTAGTGACAAGTAATTACTTCTAAATTACTTACAAAAAAACTGTATAAAACTGTAAAAATCTATTCGAGTAATTTTATTTAAAAAGAAATTACGGTCTGTATTAATACAAGACAAACAAAGGTGTATATTAAACAAAACACCACATACAAAAATCTATAAAAAGAACTATTTTTTTTACTTTCAAACTTCAAGAAACTTCCTGCATTTATTATTATATTTATCATATAAAGGCGGCTACAGACGTTCATTCATACTTGACAAGTGTACTTGTGCAAGCGTACTTGTACAAGTTTGCATTGACTCCATACAATACAAGCGCACTTGAATAGTTTTAGTCTGGTTTTAGTAGGTAAAAATGGACGAAGAAGACGCGCTAGCTCTTGCGATGTTCGTTATTCTGCTTACACAAAAAGAGAAAAAGAAAACCCGTCGATTTTGATGCAAAAACTGCCTTCTAAAAAGGAATATTTATTCGCATACTAATATTTTAAACGAATTGAAGTTTTACTCTGCTAAATATTTGTTCTTAAACTGTTTATTTTTTTTACAATCGAATCGCAGTTTGCAGTTTTATAAATTTCTTGCAATTTTATAATTAAACTTTTATATGCAGCCTCTCTTTTGTTTTTATTATGATAGTCCTTTGATTTTACTTGCCATAAACAAAGAGATTCTCTATAAATACTAATCAACTCCACCAAGTACTTCGCGCTTACTTTTTTCATTTTTATCACTAGCCATTTTTATCTATTTTCTGGTAACAAAAAAATAAGAAACAAGCAATAAACCTACTAGAATCAACTTCAGGCTTGCGCAAGTTTGTTACACACGTTCATGCATACTTCCGCGAGTCACTGGGGCATGAAGAAAATTCGTACAAGTCTATGCCACTTGCACAAGTCGAAATACTTGTACAAGTTTGTTCCTACACACGTTCAAAATTCTTATACAAGTATGCTTGCACAAGTACACTTGTCAAGTATGCATGAACGTTTGTAGCCGCCTTAACTTAAAGGCGGATTCTGACGACTCGAGTACTTGTACAAACATTTGATATTGGGATATATTGTAATCGCAAAACATTTTCTGATGCACGTCATCAATCATATCGATATCATTGACATTAAAGTCTATAAACCTAACCAAATGAAATTTTGGCAAAAATGTTTAAATTTGTTGTATAATTTAAGAAACCAAGCAGCCCTTCATTATACTTTATAGAGCAAATGATTGTAACAGATATTTTATTGAGATTAAAGCTGCAAAAATTAATTTAAACCGAATTTTATTATCGTTATGTTGGTCATATTGCGCCGTGTTCAGCAATGTTGTCCTTTATTATTTGACAATTATTATCCTAATGTCAGTAATTATTTTGTATAATATCGTGTTGTTGTTTAATATTTATGAGCAATTCTCTTTTTTTTCTATTTTCGTAGTTTTTTTTTAAATTGCACTTTTAAGCACAAACAGTTCTCTTAAGAACTAAATTTTCGAGTTTCTGTATTGCATTTCTTGAAATTGTGTGTTGGAAATATGCCGAAGCGTTCAAACAGTCGAAGCAAAGAGCTTCTAGCTTCCCTGATAAACATGTTCAAAATTTGAACGAGAACGTGACAATAAAGTTCCTTTATTACGATTGACTGCAGTCAGAGAAGTGTAAAATTTGGAAAATAAGTTGGTTATAATAATGGTTTTATAATTCGGAAACTCTCTATTTATTTATCTAGTAATGCTAAAACACTCTATTTTAAAGTCGATTAGAGAAAATAGTATGATTCATTGGCAAGTAATGTAAACATTTGTGATCCGGTAAAATTGTGATGTAAGAGGAGGCTTAGCTTGCCTACAGCGGTTCAGTAGTAGACTGGCCAGCCGGCTGTTGTGTTGTGTTTTGTCATAGAGCTGATATTTGGGGGTTGAGAGTCTTTTGACTATGGTGAGTTCATACAGCCAAATAAAATAAAATAAGAATAAAATAAAATAAGAAATAAGGAATTCTTATTTGTGTGCGTTCATACAGTCAAATAAAATAAAATAAGAAATATATATTTGCTCATGCGCAGTACGATGAGGCTGGATAAAAGTTAACTTTTACGATTGTTTATAGTAATTTTACTATTTATAGTATATTTATTTATTCGTTGCCTACTATATTATACATTTTACTTATGTGAAATTATAAAATAAATTAAATCCAAACTGAAAATATTTGTAGGTTAGAATTAAGCGTGCGCAAAGCCGTTTTCACATAAAATAAAACAAGAAGTTAAAAGATAAAGACTTCTTATTTTATTTGTTATTTTATTTGGCTGTATGATCGCATGTACGGTATCCCATATAACCAACTTTCTTATTTTATTTTATTTTATTCTTATTTTATTTTATTTGGCTGTATGAACCCACCATATAAACGTTGCAAGTACTGTAAGGCAACGGGTCGTTTGACCGGAAGAAAACCTCTGGTGACGTCTTTCCTTCGAGGTTGGTCTTGAGAGTTTGAGGTCTCCCTTGTCTTCTCGATTGACACGATGCGGTGTTGGGGTAGAGAGACTAGTGAGGTACCCCAATTAGCTTATTCGATTGGGATGCGAATCTGTTTAGCGGCAGAGTTGCGTCCGGGGGAAGCCCCTATACTATTTCAGGTGACACTAGCTAGTTGTTGAAGATTATTAACCAATAGATCCGAATGATATTTGAATTAGATGGAAAATATGGAATGGGATATATTGAATAGAATATATCAGTGGCTAGGGGCGGAGTACCCCCGGGTGAGTCTTACTATTTAACTATCAATTTTATCCAGATCAGTAAATGTTTGTTTTGTTATTTTCATGTACAATGAGAGAGTGCTTGCCAATGACCAACTAAATGGATATTTGAGGTGAATTTGCATTGTGAGACCCGGTTGAGTAAGCCCCAGAAATAAGCGATTTTACAGAAGTAAGTTTTATTGATAAGCACATTACACCACTTTCAAAGTTATTTCTATGTTAAAAAAACATAAATTAAATTCTGTGATTATTAGTTTGCGCATTAATAATACCCTCTTACTTGTTATTACCACTTATGGCATTGGTATGGCGTAAGATGTACATCAATAAAAAACTCATAATAACGCTTAGAATAATCTTCATAATGGACTAGTTTTTGTCAATATTATGTAATAAGTATGTACTAAAATATTAGTTATTAAATTAAAAATAAAACTTAAAAAGCTTTAAAAAATTATATAATAAATATATTATTTGTCACTTTTAAATTAAAATTCATCTCATAAATCCATCACAATCTGGTAGCGCTGTCGCCATCGCTTGTCACACAAAGTTGATCACGTTCATCGGAAATTGTTTTGCGGTTACCATACTTGCTATATCGTGTGGGCGGTTAACTTGCGCAATTATTTGTCACTAGTCACTAGTCGTGAGCGCCGAGCTTGTTGCAAAGACGTGACATTGTGAGACTTGACATTGTGAGACGTGGCATTGTGTCACATCGACGTGATTCTCACGACTCGTGTACTTGACAAGTATACTATCTTACGAAAAACATTTTTTTGCAACAAGCTTGGCGCTCACGCGGCGCGAGGAGTGACAAATAATAGCACAAGTAAACCGCTCACACGACATTGCAAGTATATCCCAATAACCAATGTTTGTACAAGTACACGAGTCGTCAGAATCCGCCTTTAGATATGTACAAATAAAAGAAAATATTGCACAGGAATAAGTAAAACACAACATAAATAAAACAAAAATATTTTATTAATAATTGCACTTAACTGATTTTTTTTAAACTAGCATCTTTTGACATTATCTCTCTGCAGTACTATGTTTTATTATTTACGTATCGTGTGATGTTATTTTACAGATACTCCAGTTTTTAATACCATATACGAGATGGTATATACAAACTTTATTGGTGGCCAATACGACTCTTTGGGCACCGAATATTAACTATAAACTGTGCTTTGGGTCTACAGTTTATTTTTTTAACGCAGGTTTGTTGACTTAATTTGACACAAGTTATAAACTATTGTTGTAAACCTACACATGTTGTATACCTACACATGTTGTATACCTAATTTGGCAAGAGGTTGACAAGCCTCTTAGACTTAGCCATATCTTAAGTTCGAGTTTCAATAAAATTGAAACATGATTTGTCATTTTTCAAATAAACCAATAAACTGGTTAAAAACAACAAGAAAGGACGCCATAACGGATTTATATACAGGGTGTTTCAAAACAAATGCGAAAAACTTCAGGGGGTGATTCCTTGTTCAAAATAAAGGGGAGTTTGCTTTATAAACGTTGGGTCAAAAGTCAACCATTAGGGAGATATCGCGGTACAAAGATGGCGGAAAAATAATGTTTTTATTTTTTATCTTGAAAATGAAAAGAGATAGACTAATGAAATTTTATGGAAGCATTACTGTTATGAAAACACACTTTCTGGTAATTTTTTCACTTTTTTAAAATGAGTGGAAGGGGTTGAAATAAATTACCCCTATCATTCTTGTTAACGAAATTTAAAGAAAAATCTTATCAAACACATGCAAAAAAATT